ACCGTCACTCCACTTCCCAGGTCAGCTATTCAAGGGTTAAGAGCTAGTGATGGGGGGCCTCCCTGGTGGCGCAAGTGGTTAAGCACAGCAAGATGAAGCTATCTGTAGCCTCTACAACATGAGTTCAATCCTGGCCAGCCAGGGAGGTGACCCACATGGTGCAGCAGACCTCTCCTGTCTCGCCCGCTGCTCCCCTCAGCAGTGTATTTCAGTCAATCTGCCTGTTCTGTTCCCCACTCTGTCTCTGGTGAATCCTCTTACCCTCCATACCTCTGGCCTGTACCCCAGTTCTTGTATGCATAAATAAAAATAAATCTTAAAAAAAAAAAAACAGTGATGGGAAAGCTGTTTTAGAGTTTGAAAATGAGAAGAGGAGACAAAATTTACATATTCTTGCTTAATCCAGAACGACTTGGTTGACAAACACCAGGCAATTCAGGTAAATAAGACAGAAACAATCAGGGAATTCTGGATTGTACAAGATAGGGACAAATTTCACTCTAAAACCTGGCCCTCTAACCAAAAATGTATACCTCATAACCATTAATATTTTAGTGAGACAGAGAGCCTACCAATTATTTTGAAAGAAAAAACATAAAAGGATAAATAAATGTCTCAAGCAGTCAGCATTCATTTCAGATAAACTGGTCGGGTGCTGCAATGGGCAGGGTGCCCAGCAGGCCACCTGCAAGAGGGAATAGACAGATGTGGGTACAATCCCAGCTCTGCACCTACCAATTGTAGGGCCTACGCAAGCTACTTATATCTGATTGGTCTTAGTTTTCCATTTGCAAAATGGGAAAAATGGCACCCATTCTAAAGAAGATATATCTAGAATCCATGTCAGGAAGCACATGACAAAGGTGGGAAGAATCCGGTGGCCTGGGGAGTAGAGAAGAAGAAAGATGGAACCTCTTGGACACAGGGCAGATTCTTTGTCATTGAACCCAATGCATTCCTCCAGTTACCTTAAACTTCCTACCTTAGGAGGCCACACAAGGGAGCCACAGAGGAACAGAAGGGAGAACACCCATTCATGTGGGGCAGGGGGCAGACACCACCAAGGAAGTCACACTCAGAGATCTCTCTCTCTAGGGCAGCCAGGATGCAGCAGGAGCCACAAGAACAGGGTCATGGAAGGGGTTAGGCCTGAAAAGCACAGGGGAGAACAAGGAGTCTTTGTGGAGATGATAGAAGAGTGAGAGAGTGGGCTAGTAAAGTCACAGAGAATGGGAACAGGGGGTGTGGAAATGCAGGGCCAGGTAAGGTAAGGAGGACTCACTGAGGGGAGAGGAAAGAGTGCCACTGGAGGGCCTCCCCTGGTGGCACAGCGGTTGAGCGCTGAGCTGCGAAGCTGCCCGCAGCCTCTGTAGCGCTGGCTCAATCCCCGGCCACCGGTGATGGTCCCACATGGCGCGCAGACCTCTCCTGCCGGGCCCGCTGCTCCCCTCAGCAGTGTATTTCATCAGTCTGCCTGTTCTGTCCCCCGCTCTGGCTCTGGTGAATTCTCCCACCCTCCTGCACTTCTGACTGTACCCAGTGATTGTATAAATAAATAAAATCTTTAAAAAGAAAAAAAAAGAGTGCCACTGGAGGTTTCTGGAGCAGAGTGGTGGTTGAAGAGGCATCTTAGAAGATAATCTCAAAGCTGTGTGGGACAGAGAACCTATGCAGAGTTTGGACAAACCCAGCCTGGAGAATTTGTGGGCATGGCAAAGAGGTGGCCATGGCCAATTCGAGTCCGGCTGGCTGGCAGAACCACTAGAGAAACAAGAGGCTGGACTCCAGAAGCAGGGCAGGGTAGGGGGACAGAGTGGTCTGATGGGAAACACCACAGAGATGAGCAAGAATACCAGAAAGGTTCAAGGAGATTCAGCCTCCTGGGTTAAGAATGGCAAGGCAGCCAGCAATCTCGGAAGGGACATGGTACAAGGGGGTAAAGGGCATAGGTACATTTCCGGAGTGGGAGAGGAACTGCTGGGTGGCAGGGAGAAACATAAATCAGTGAGACACCTTGGAGAGAGAAGTCATTCCCAAAGAAGAGACAAGAAACTCTTCAAGTTAACAAGTTTTATATTGAGGGTCAGAAAAAGCTGTATAGAGAGCAAGATGTCACAGATATCAGAGTCCAAAGTGAAGCTGACGACACTAGTAGGCAGTGTTGGGGCAGTTGGAGACAGTCCCTCCTCCCCCAATCCACAGACCTATTGGCTAACAGCCATCCCAGCTCCAAGGGCGCCCTACACCTCAATCCAACCAAACCACCGCCTCTTGCTCCCAGAGGTTCCCAACTACCCCCAACGAGATATCACCCTGGACTCACATGGGCTTGTCCCCAGGGTGACACCCCTCAGCTGAACTGGAAGTGCCTAACAGGTCTGAGTCTCACACCTGGCCAACAGTAACACCTCGTCCAGAACTTCACTTGAGGAGAAATGTTGCTATGACATGACAGAGGGAAGGAAGAAAAACTGGCCAAGTCCTCAGTTCAGGTGGGGTACAGGAAAGGAACATGAGAAAGCACGGAAATCAGCAACCTGACCTTATCAGAGGCCAAAGGACCCAGATGTTGGTCTCCCACAATTCCACCTTCAACTTTGCTCCCACCCTAGTTTCCAGGTACCACGTGTGAATGGCACTGGGTGGTGCAAGTCACTGGTCCCTGCCTTATGGGTCTATGTGATGCCTCCTGGATGCTGAACATAGGGCCAGGAGAGCTGAGTAAAATGCCTGCTCTCACTGGGTGCACGTGTCATGGGGAGAAAACAGCAAACATAGCCACAGACACTGAGGATGTGACTATTGCTGAGGGGTGACACATTACTGTGAGGGAGGACTACTTAAGGCAGGTGACCAGCAAAGGGTTCTGGGAAGAATGACATTTGAGCTTCCTCCTAAAGGAGGGAAACGAGCCAACCCTGGAAGTGCCAGGGGAAGAAACTGGGAATAGTGTTTTAGGAAGAAGGAACAGTGACAGTCTGGACATACTGAGGAGAGGGAGCTGGAAATATGGGAGGAACAGAAAACTGGCAAGTATGGTTGCAGTGTGGATGCCAGGAGGAACACAAGGTAGGAGAAGCTGGCTGGCACCCAACCAGGTGAAGGGAATTGGAATTTTATTCCAGAAGGTTTTCAGCAGGTGAATTTCATGACCTGATTCCGGTTTTCATTTCTTACCTCACAGCTGTATATCACGGTCTTCCTCTAAAGCTGATCCTTCAACAGTACAAACAAGAACCCCCTCTGATAATCAACATATTTAAAGGCATTTAAGAATCTCCAAAGAATTCAAAAAACATTAGCTACTGTCATCAAAGTTCAAATGAGAGCCAATGTCAAGATCTGATAGGCAGTTTTAAAAACATTCCCCCCAAAAAACAGGAGCAGTTTCTAATTAAAAGGACCTAAGCAGGGCCTCCCTGATGGCACAAAGGGTTAAGCACAGCACTATGAAGCTATCAGCAGCCTCTGCAGCACAAGTTGGATCCCAGGCAGGCCAGGGAGCTAACCCACATGGTGCAGCAGACCTCTACTGTCTCACCTGTTGCTCAGCAGTGTGTTTCAGTGAATCCGCCTGTTCTGTTCCCCACTGTCTCTGGTGAATCCTCTCACCCCCCACACCTCTGACCTGTACCCCAGTTCTTATATGCATAAATAAATCTTAAAAAAAAAAGAGCCTAAGCAAGTATCATCCACACACATACACATGAACACCCTAAAATGGAGCAACTTACTGCCCAACATCTGTAGGGCACTCAACAATTTATAGAGCACTTTCCTATCTGTTACAGGAACTTGTTAATTAATAACCACTGGTCTTTAATGCTTTTAATTTAGTGATAATCTTAGTCCTGGCAAGATTTGGCAGGTAAGCATGTCTAGCTCCTTGGATTCACCTACCATCTGCTCTCCTAGGATCTGGCATTCTTACTGCTGTGGTGTCTATTCCCATGTGTCCAGATCTTCCAGAGAACTAGATAATAATCAGAGAATGTATGACTGAGTACTTCCTAGTGCCAGACATTTGTTCTGAGTGTTTTACAAACTTAAGCTTCACATTATCCAATATTTTTTATATTCCCACTTTCCAAATGAGGTGACATCCAAGGACACCCAGAGGAATAAGTTCTGGAGCCAAGATTTGAAAACAAGACTGTGACCCTATGTCCTTTCTCTTAGTTGTGCTGCATCGTTCTAGCCAAGCGCTTAATTCAACACAGGTATTCAGCAAATAAACGCGACTGTTATTAGTACTCAGGTAGTTTCTCCAAGTTAGCAGAGACCTTGTCCACGGGTAGCTGCTGCGTTCCCTGGCACATCTGACGGACATATAAATGAATGAACGTCCCTCCCAGAAAAAGGGCTGTATGCGCATGGTTCTTTCTGGCACATCTCTGTCGCGCCACTGATACCGGCCCTTAGTAAAGCATCAGGCTGATCTGAGGACATAGAAAGACGCCTTAAGATGCGCGCGGTCCCCTTCGCCCAGTTAAAAGGAGTGGCGGAAGCAGCTCCCCAAGGGAGAGAAGGATGAATCCTGGATTGCATTACAGGCAGGTCCAATCTCAGACGGGACTCGGCCTTCCACCCCGGCGGGTACACCGTCTCCCCCAGCTGGGACGCTGGTGAGACAAAGACTTGCGGGGTCGCCACACCGGTGCGAATGCTCGCTCCCCTCGCCCACCTCAAGGGGAGAGAGCCCCACGCCATCGTGCACCACCCTGTCTGGGAGCTTCGGCGGTGACGGGGTCGAACCCGGGCCGAGCGGACACCCGACGCGGCACCGCCCGGTCGCCGCCCGCGGAGGGTCGCTCAGGAGAGGGAGGCCGCGGGTCGGGCCGGCCTGTCACCTTCAGAACTGCCTGTCCGCCCGCCCACTCGCCCGTCCTCTGCGAGGGCCCCTCTGAGTGAGGTGCCGTCCGGTGGCCAGGCCTTCCCACGCCCGGCCTCCTGCTGGCCCGTCCACTGCCCCTCATCCCGGCCGCCCGCAAGGCTCGTACCTGCTGGGCGAGGGGGATGAGCGGGGCAGCCATCTTCCCGCGGACTCGGGCTCCGAGCGCCGGGGACGGGGGCGGGGCCGCGCGTGCGCGCTGGTGCAGAGGGCGGTGCGCGCGCAGAGGGCTCGGGACCAAACGAGGGGAAGGAGCCGACGCAGGACTGCTCACGCGCGGTCGAGTCCGGGGGCGGGGTCTAGTCCGGGGGCGGGGTCTAGTCCGGGGGCGGGGTCTAGTCCGGGGGCGGGGCGGGGCGGGGCGGGGGGGAGTGGGGGGGTAGGGGCGGGGCTGCGTGCACCTAGCCCGCCGAAGTGGGCGGAACTACAGGGGGCGAGGCGGGTAAGCTTAGGCTCGAAAGCCCAACAGAGGGTCCACCCTGGATCCAGCCCCCAGACTTCCGTTCCTCAGGCGGTTCTGCCGGCTGTCATCCCTCTTGGTTCCTTTCGCCTGCTGGGTCTTTGGCTGGCAATCCGGTTCCCCACCCCGCGCCTGACCCACGCACTGGGGGTGGGGGTTCGGGGGGTTGCAGTCCTAGGATAACAGGGCGGGGGGAGGGGGGCGCGTGCATGCATGCGTGCGTGCGCGCGCCCGTGTCTGTGTCTTTATCTGTTTGGGTCTACCCTTGGAGATTCTGATAAACTTGATTGGTGACTAAACCTCTTTACTGAAGCAGCACCTGCTATGTCTGGAGTTATGTCCCAGCTGCCACTTTCTGGCTGTATGACCTTGGCAACTCACTTAAGTAGCCTCTTTGTGCCCCAATCCTCTTTTCTGGAGGCAATGGCAATACTCTTTTGCTACTGTTCCACCTCTGTGCCTCCAATGTACCCATACAAATCAGGCCCCTGCTGATTGTGAGCACTGTTACTAGAAGGGGGTTATTTACATTCATCTCTGGTCAGTGGGAGAAGGTCCACCCAGGCAGTTGACCTCAGCAGCACAGATTTCTTTGGAGCAGGTCAGCCTTCCCTTACCTGATGTCTTATGATGGTGGCGTATTTCCCAGACAAGCAGGAAAGTTGGGTCTCAGGGGCAGGAACAACCTCCATTCTGGGGTCTCATGAGCTGCTGCTCAAGTGTCTTCAGCCATTTGGTGTGCCTCATACCATTCAGATGAGTATTGTGTGGTTTGGAATTATTCAACAGCTATGCATTTGGCCTGACCATAGGCACTTTGAAAGTGCACCAGGCAGACAAACTAAAGCAGGGTCCCACCCTGGAGCTGCATCAGAACCACCAAGGTGGCTTATTAAATAGATGGGGTTTCTGATTCTGATGTATAGATCTGAGCTAGGTTGTGATTTTTGCCTAACAAATCACCAAGAGGTGCAAATTTTGCTAATTCCATTTTGAGAATGTTTGGTCTAGAAGAAGGCAACAGATCAACCAAATCATCACAGGAAGAACTAGATTACTATACACAGCAAGGTGTCACACTTGAAGGTGGAGTGTGTACACACAGACTGTGGGGGCTGGGGGCCATCACAGCCTGGGGAGGGTTGAGTGAGGGAACACAGTAACACCAAGGACTTGGAACTCAGAGAGCAAGACAGTTCTCTAGAAATGCTGGATCACGTGGTCTTATTTCATCATTCTTAGCACAAGGTGTTGTATAAGACCACGCATGAACTGGCCTCATCCCTGTTCTAAGAGCAATGGGAAGCCACCAGTTTTTTAATATAGTCAAATTTGCATTCTAGAAGGGCAACTGGATGAAGCTGGCAGTGGATGAGAGGAGAGAGATGGAAACTGGGCCTCCCTGGTGGTGCAAGGGGCTAAGACGAAACCTATGAAGTTGTCCACAACCTCTGCAGCACAAGTTCGATCCCCGGCCTGTCAGGGAGCAACCCACATGGTGCAGCAGACCTCTCCTGACTCGCCCGCTGCTCCTCAGCAGTGTACTTTGGTCAATCTGCCTGTCTAGTTCCCCACTCTGTCTCTGGTGAATCTTCTCACCCCGACACCTCTGGCCTGTACCCCAGCTCTTGTATGCATAAATAAAAAAATCTTTGGAAAAAAAAAAGAGATGGAAACTGTGGGGCCAGCTGGAAAGATATGGCAGTGGTCCAGAATTGGGGCCCGGAGGGTGGGGTGACAGAAGCTTTTAGCTGCCTTGAACACTTTTTTTTTTTTTTAAGATTTTATTTATTTATTTATTTATACAAGAGCCAGGGCACAGACCAGATGCGCAGGAGGGTGAGAGGATCCACCAGAGACAGAGCGGGGAACAGAACAGGCAGACTGACGAAATACACTGCTGAGGGGAGCAGCAGGCGAGACAGGAGAGGTCTGCCGTGCCATGTGGGACCCTTGCCAGCAGGCTGGGATCGAACCAGCACTGCAGAGGCTGCGGACAACTTCACAGCGTCGCGCTAAACTGCCTGTGCCACCAGGGGAGGCCCTGCCTTGAACACTTTATCAATCCATGTTGCATACGGAAAAGAGAAGTCACTCTAGATATTTCAAGCAGGTCAGTGATACTGGAGATTGAGTACAAAGGTACTGGAAAAACAGAGTACTTAAGCTTACTCAAAAATTGCTCTAGCGTGGGGTCCAAGGACAGGCTGCCCTAGGATATACCAAAGTGGCATCCTGATTATTTTAAGTTGAAGGAAATTGTGAGGCAGTTGATTTAAGCATATGGTTTTGCCTAATTCTCTGTCTCCCTAAAAACAGAAACTCAATCTCTGTGGTGGTCCCAAAGGTGAGAGACAGCCTACTGCCCAGGACTAGGGTTTGCAATGTTTTCAATACCAATGTATATAACCCTGCAAAATTCCTTGTTTTTAAATGTCAAATTTTCTTTTGATCTGTGTGTCCCTCCCTTGAAGTGGGAGTGTATTATCCCTTTCCAAATTATATGACCTCAATGGAATTGAGCAGATGACAGGCTCATATTCTATGTACAAACATAAATTTTGTCTTTTTTCTTGCTAGTCGCTCTTGTGTCAATTTATTATTAGGATAGCTAAAAGAACCAAAGAGGGTGAGGGAAGCCCCCCCCCAAAAAAAAAACTTTCCCTTTGAAGGGCTTAAGGTCAAGAATGAAAAATGTTACCCCCAGGATCTCTGGGCACTGAACAGGAACCCAGATGCCTGCCCTCAATAACCACTGCTATTTCTGCCACCATTGACTGTCACTGCTATTGTCATTGTCTCCTAAGGCTCTGGCAGAGCCTGAGAAAAAAAGTTTCTGCCTTCTGCAGGAAACTGATAGGTTAGAGAGTCTGGGATGTGTCATGTGCAGGTTTCCAGTCTCCATGTCAGAGTCAGTAGGAGTGGTAACAGAGACCCAGTGGCATCATCTTGACTGGAAACAGAGGTTCAGTGACATGAGTCCCACCCAGCATCCTGAGGGGCCCGGGATTCCCTGTGCTAATGTGGCTGCCACACTGGGCAGTCCCATTCTGGAGCCTTTCTCACCATCATCCAGAGCCACACTATAGAGTAAGACAGCCACTCACCACATGTGGCTGTGTAAGTTTAACTACAAACAAATGAAATTAAAACCTGTACCTCCATAGAAAACACAACAAGAGTGAACCCTGATGTAAACTAGACTCTAGGTGGGAATGATGTATCAGCATAGGTTCATTAATTGTGACAAATGTACCCCTGTGGTATGGGATATGACAGTGAGGGAGGCAGTGGGGGTGTGCAGGAAAGGGTCATTGGGAGGAGGACCATGAGCTGGACCATGGGATATAGGTGTCCCTCCACCCCATCCCCTGATCTTAGAATGTATGTTCCACCCACCATTCCCACAGTGGCGGCTATTTTCAAGGACACAATCCAAACCTCTAAAGAGTAAGTTGTTGAGACCATTTGGACAGTATATATGACTGAACCCCTACTATAAATTTAAGATTTGGCAGGTGAGTGTGGTCTTATGACCACCCAAGACAAATGTGTAAGTTCCCTCATTAAACCTGTCACAAACCACTTTGAAGGGGCCTGCCTTGATCTTTGGTTCCTCTCTGCCCTGTGTGTAAAGGGTTAGTTTCAGATTCCAGCTGGGGAGCGCTCAAGGTTTGGAGCCAAAAGTGTGTAGGTGCAGAAATATAAGGGGTCCTCTCTATTTTCTGCTCAGTGTTGTTGTGAGTCTAAAGCTGGTCGAGGGGGCCTCCCGGGTGGCACAAGAGGTTAAGTCACAGGACTGTGAAACTATCCGCAGCTGCTGCACCAGTTCGATCCCCGATCCTGGCCAGGGAGCTGACCCACATGACACAGCAGTCCTCTCCTGACTCGCCAGCTGCTCCCTTCAGCTGTGTATTTCAGTCAATCCACCTGTTGTGTTCCCCACTCTGTCTCTGGTGACTCCTCCACCCCCTGCACCTCTGGCCTGTGCCCCAGTTCTTGTATGCATAAATAAATAAATCTTAAAAAAAAAAAAGCTGGTGTAAAAAAAGTATTAATTAAAAAGAAATTCATTCCTCAGTTCTACCAGCCACATCTCCAGTGCTCACATGCAGTCAGTGCACACAGAGAGACAACTCCATCCTGTAAAAGGCTCTCCAGACAGACAAGCCCAGCAGTGTCTGCCATGCAGCAGTGTCAACCTGTGTTTGTACAATTGTTTCAGGCATTTTCTCTCTAGGCCTGACTCCTCTTCTTCCCTCACTAACTTCTCATTACATTCAGAGATGAAAAAGGTAGGCTGTGTTAGATTTCCCACCTCAAGGAAGAGTTTTTACTTTCTGAGAGGGATAATCAACCATGAAGAACAATGTACCATCAGCTGAAAAGGCCAAATTCAAAGACCTGCCAACTTCAGCCAAAGTGAGAACAAAATACTTCACTGTCAGGGCAGATTTTCATATTTATCATCTATTGACATGCTATATATAATTTCCAATTTGTTTGACTTACTCAAAACATTGCTGAATTCCAAATTTCTGCCATCTTAAATTTATTTCCAACACAAATTTCTACATGAAAAGTGATCTGTCTCTTTAAAACAGAAGACTGCTATGTGCAGCTTTTAAAAGAGAAAATTATTGGATTTAAAAGTAAAAAAACTGAAAAGTAATCACTATTTTTCCTTGAGAAGGTGAATTTCATTTCT